CCGGCAAGGTAAAGGACACAGAGCTCATCGCGAAGCCCGCGCGCAATGACACTGCTCTGAATCTCGTGGGTCACGCGTCCAACATTGCAGCTCAGAGTGCCGTTCCAATCTGCGAGGCGTTCGGCATGGAGTTTCACGTGCAGGCCCCCGTGAACAAGGTTATCGGCGGCGAGGTCTTCAATCCAAGGTGGTTGGTGGAGGAGGGCCAGGACGAACCGGCGATGGAATTCACGTCGACGCTGCATCCATTGAAGTTCGTGCGCAGCCAGACAGTGGCAGACAATGGCAACAATGGGAGGAGGAGGAGGAGGCGAAGGAGGAGGATGAGGAGGGTGCGTGTGTTATGTTTCAGCGGTTTTTGAGGCAATCGTGATAATAAGCCGCACAGTGATTTCGGTTTTTCATTCCCCAATCAGAGCTTGCCTCTATAGGGGTCCTAGCGGATTAAAGGGTTAGGTAGTCTGTGCCGCCGATTGCCCGGGTGGCCGGGGCCGGGTGCCCGGGTGCCCGGGGGTGCCCGGGGGTGCCCGGGTGCCCAGGTGTGTGGCCGATTTCGGTGGCCGGGGCCGGGTGCCCCGGGGTGCCCGGGGGTGCCCGGGGGTGCCCGGGGGTGCCCGGGGGTGCCCGGGGGTGCCCGGGTGCCCGGGTGCCCAGGGGTGCCCGGGTGCCCGGGGTGCCCAGAAGTGCCCGGGGGTGCCTAGCCTAATAGCCCTATATCCCTATAGCCCAATAGCCCAATCGCCCTATATCTCCATAGCACTAGAATCTTATAGCCCTATAGCCGTACAGCCATATAGCCCAATAGCTCAATAGCCCAATAGCCCCATAGCCCCATAGCCCTATAGCCCTATAGCCCTACAGCCCTATAGCCCTATAGCCCTATGATCCTAACGCCCTATAGCCGTATATAGCCCTGTAGCCTTATAGCCCTATAGCCCGAATAGTCTTATAGCCTTTAGCCCTACAGCCCTATAGCCCTGTAGCCCTATAGCCCCATAGCCCTAAAGGCCTCTTGCCCTAAATCCCTATGGCCACATCGCCCTATAGCCCTATAGCCCCATAGCCCTAAAGCCCTAAAGCCCCATAGCCCCCCCAAAATTCTGATTGGGGTTTTTCACTGGTATCATTTGGCTTAAGGGTTCGGAATTTGGAGGTCAGCTTCAAAATGCGCGCGTCCTCGATCTGTTTTGGCGACATGCGGCTTGTTTCAAAGATTTGCCGCGCGCTCTTGTTCGAAATCGGCGTTATATGAATCAGGAAAACCATATGATTTACGACCCCTGGAGCTCCACCGAAGGCCCCAGTGGGGGTGCCCGCATGCGTCCGTCACACCCAGTACAGCGTTTCGTGCCCCATAGGGAACTCCACCAAAAGGGCCCAGGGGGGGTGCCCGCATGCGTCCGCCACACCCAGTACAGCGCTCCGAGGCCCCGTAGGGAACTCCATCCAAGGCCTCAGTGGCGGTGCCCGCATGCGTCCGCCACACCCAGTACAGCGCTTCGTGGTCCCATAGGGAACTCCACCGAAGGCCCCATTGGGAGCGCCCGCATGCGTCCGCCACACCCAGTACAGCGCTTCGTGGCCCCATAAAGGGGGCTCCACCTAAGGCCCCAGTGGGGGCGCCCGCATGCGTCCGCCACACCCAATACCGCGCTTCGTGGCCCCGTAAGGAGCTCCACCGAAGGCTCCAGTTGGTGTGCCCGCGTGCGTCCGCCACACGCAGTACAGCGTATCGAGACCCCACAGAGAGTTCCACCAAAAGGCCCCAGTGGGGGTGCCCGCATGCGTCCGCCACACCCGCTACAGCGTTTCATGGCCCCACAGGGAACTCCACCGAAGGCCCCAGTGGGGGTGCCCGCACGCGTCCGCTACACCCAGTACAGCGTTTCGTTGCCCCATCTGGAGCTCCACCCAGGGCCCGCGTGGGGGTGCCCGCATGCGTCAGACCTATCGTCTTCGTTCGTGCCGTGCACCAGGACACACATTTCTGCGCACACCTCGCGCGGGTTGTGGCCCCGTACGGAGAACCACCGAAGAAGATATTCATAATTGCGGTATTCACAATTGCATTTTGCTGGGTCGATCGCCAAACTAATAAAAATATCTGTCCTCTCCCCCTCGATTGGTCGCCCACTCACCCATGTACCCACTCGCGTTCATGGTGTCTTCAGTCTGTGTGTGTGCCTCTCACTATGTTGCTCTGTCTTGTTTGTTGGTTTCTCCATCTCTCTTTATCTATATATGTATATGTTTGTTGTTTATCTCGCCCTCTCTACCTCTCTCTCGCCCTCTCTCTCCTTCTCTTCCACCGTGTTGCCCCCCGCTTCGCATAATATTCATATGTATCGTATCTGTTTCTCTCTGTGCCTCCCTTTGTGTGCTTGTTTCTCTCGCCCTCTTTATATCTGTCTCATCCTCCTTGTTTCTCTCGATGTTCCTCTTTGCTTGTATGTGCAGCTTCTCTCTCTCTCTCTTTCTCCCTCTCTATCCCCCCTCCCGTGCTCTCTCTCCCTCTCTCTCTTCCCCCCCCCCCCTCTCGGTTTCTCTCTGTCCCTCTCTCTCTCTCTCTCCCTCTCTTTACACCTCTTTCGCTTTCTCTGTTCGTCTCGTCTCGTCTCTCTCTCTCTCTCTCGCCTGTCTCTCGTTTCTCGCGGGCATTGGTGAGGGGATGGTGTGGTCCAGAAGGGAAACACATAATCAAACACAACGGCTTTCATTTCTCAAGAGCCAGCCGACGCAGTATGAGTAGCTTTTGAGGGGAAGGTATATGGGAACACACCCTGTCAAAGGGAGGTGTGCTCCTCGTGTACCAGGCTCCCACCAACGGCGGGAAGCCATGGCCATGCGCCATGTGTTTTCTCAAGAGGATGCTGGAGGTGGAGGCACGAGGAGGCGGGATGAGCGCATTGACGTCGATATCGGGGCAGTGCTGTAGCTGATGGTTGGAGGGGGGAGAAGGACAGGGCACGGGCTGGGAGAGGGATCGGATGAGAGAGGTCTGGGAGAGGGGGAAGGCTTCTCAGACGCACCCCTTGAACGAAGGATTGCAAAAAACCCTTGGACGAAGGATTGCAAAAAAACCCGGATTGCAAAAAAAACCTGCTTGAAAAAGGGTTTTTTTGCAATCCTTCGTCGAAGGGCTTTTTTGCAATCCTGGTTTTTTCTGCAGTCCTTGGAGGGCGCGGGCCCTGTCTGCAGATGTTAGGCTGGCACCTTCGAAGGAGCAGCCTCCTTGTACGAGGCCTTCCCCCCCCCCTCGCTCCCTTGCGCGCGCCGCCAGTGGGAGGAGGAGAAGGAGGAGGAGGAGGAGGAGGAGGAGGAGGGGGAGGAGGAGGAGGAGGAGGAGGAGGAATAGGAGGAGGAGGAGGAGGAGCAAAGAGGAGAGGGAGCAGCCGAGGGAGGGGGAGGGGGGCGAGAGAGTGCTCCCGCCTTCGCGACGCTGGGGGCCAGCGCCCACGAGCACAGCCAGGCAGACGCCGAGGGGCCAGGCACCGTGGAGCGTGGCAGGGCTGGGATCGGCCCCTCCCTTCCTCCGGCAGCCAAGGAGAGTCAGGGTCTGCCCCGGGGGGGGGAGGAGGAGGAGGAGGAGGAGGAGGAGGAGGAGGAGGAGGAGGAGGGAGGAGGAGGAGGAGGAGGAGGAGGAGGAGGAGGAGGCGGAGGCGGAGGCGGATGAGGAGGAGGAGGAGGAGGAGGAGGAGGAGGAGGAGGAGAAGGAGGAGGAGGAGGAGAAGGAGAAAGAGGAGGAGGAGGAGGAGGAGGAGCCGGGCAGGGGGAGGGAGAGGACACGCTGTAGTTTTTGTCAGAGACGTCGGATCTCACAGACCGCAGCTGCATCGTGCGACCGCCTCCTCACGGCGGCTGCCCGCTCGTGCGGTGTCGGCATCGCCACGAGCCGCCCGGGCGCGGGTCTCGTGGCAGACCTGGACGGGTAGCTCCAGAAACAGACAGGAGGCAGCAGTGGAACCGGGAGGGGTGCAGGGAATGTGGGGCGTTCTGTGCGGTTGTCTGGTGTTCTGGGCGTCTTCTGGGTCCTGCGAGGGGGGGACCAGGGATGATGATGATCAGGAGGAGGAGGAGGAGAAGGAGGAGGAGGAGAGCGGGGTCATACAGTCAATCTGCATAGTAAGAATGGGCAGCCTTCCCAAGGGTACCCTTGCATCCGTGCCTCCTTGGTCCGTCCTTGGCCACTTTCGTTGACCTCGCCCCGCTCAAAAAGCTTCAAACTTGGCGTCCAAAGCCCTTGCATCCTTATCGCGCATCCTTGCCACACGGGTCGACTGTACAGCAACCTGCTATTTCCGAGATTTCCGTTTCTGCCTGAATGTTTTGCTTGTGAAGGCGCCAGGGTTGAAAACGTATGTGCCTCGCCCAAGCTGTGCGAGATCTCCTCAGGAAATGCGAGGGCTCACTTGCTTGGCTGGCTGGCTGGTTGGTGGGTTGGCTCGCTGGCTGGCTGCTTTGATGGCTGCTTAGCAGCGAGCTGGCTGACTTGTTTGCTGGCTGGTTTGTTGGCGGGCTCGTCGGGCCGCCAGTTGCTTAAGTGGCTGACCGGCTTCTTGTCAGCCAAAGAGGGCAAATGTCATGACCCCCCTCCCAGAACCCACCTGGAACATGTGCAGCAAGCGGTATGGAACGAGAAAGTGCTGCCCGCAACCCCTGGCGAGACTGTTGTGGCAAGCGCAGGGAACGAACGCATACATTAGCGCGTGCCTGTTCCCAGCCATGGGCCCGGGCAGGTGCCGGGATTTGCTGGGGCTTCACGGCGAGAGAGCCACGACGGCGGGAGCCCGGGGCGCCGAGAGTTGCCCAGAGTGTGGCAGGCCACGGCAGGTATCCGTCGCCACCGGCTTTGGTTTTGCCAGGGTGGAGGGCTCCGTGTCAGGCCGAAGTCCCCAGCAGCAAGATCCGTTACTTTTTCGACTTCGTCTGCTGCTCTTCCGTCGCTCTCCTGCATTACTGGCACAAGAATTTTGAGCGCAAGCGGCGCATTGTGAACCCACATGAGTCACAACGAGCGCCGCGCAAGCACGTGTCACTTTCCGTTCCGTTCGTGGTCTCTCCCAGGAAGTCAGGGAAACATGTCGCTGACGAGTACGCAGTGGATGCTCCAGAAAGTTACTGTCTGGCCAGCCTCCCGCAGCTCTTTCGTGACTAACATGGTGCTCTGGGTGACCCTCTCCGCGCTGAGCCAGGTCATGTTTGCTCCGTTCTGCACCGTGCTCGCAAGGGAGTTCCGCATGATGTGCATCCTGCTGTTGGCCTTCTTCCAGGTGGGGATCCACAGGGTGCCCCTCCATGGTCCGCACAGGGCGGGCCCCGGATCCCCCACCATGGAGCGCGTGCCGCCCGAGCAGCCGCACGCCCGCCCCGACACGGCCGGGGAGGCCGAGGGCCCGGCGGGGCACCACGCGGGGCGGCCGGCGTCCGAGGGGCGTGCCCTCGAGCGCGCGCACTCGGGCGCCCTCGCCCCCGGGGCCTGGAGGGTCTCCGAGACGATGCAGGCCTGTGCCAGGCCCGGCGACATGCAGGAGGGAAAGAAACACACCGACACAATTCATCGTCGATCCCCCAGGAAAATATGGGAGACTATGGGAAGTGGGGGGGAAGACAAAAGCCCAGAAAACATGGCAAAATATGGGGAATCTTTTTATTGGTGTGTGTGTTTATTTGTGTGTTTGCGGGCCCCTTCATACATGCGCGAACAACCTTTCGCGGGAGTGGCCTTTTGGTGCGGACACACCGGGGTCCCCAGGGGCCCGGATGCGGTGCGATGCCAGCGGCTTCCCCGCTCGGGTTTGGCACCGCCGCTCCCCGCCCCGTTACGCCGCGCACCGAAGGTCACCCTTGCCTAGGGCCACGCTTGCGCGCAGCCGACAGGTTCGGGCACGTGGACAAGGCCTTGGAGCTGTTTGACCATATGCTGGAGAAGGGCGTCGCTGTCGATGCGCGTCTCGTCGGCAAGGCGACGTGCGACAGGTTCTTCGTACTCGTCGCGAACAACCTCGACGCCTCGCGAATGCGGAGGGACGGCCTGCGACTTTTTGACTTAGCTCAGGCTCACGGGATCGCGCCGTCAACCGTCGTGCAGAACCGATTTGTCATTGCGTGGAAGAGCAAGCTTCCGAAGAGTGCCCTGAGATATCTACTGCAGCTCAAGAGTACGGGTTGCTTGATCAGTCGACTTGCGTACTTCGCCATTGTGCTGTCCAGCGAGAAGGACGATCCGCATCTTGTTGTCGAGACGTTTGAGGAGATGGAGACATTAGGCATCAAGGCCGATAAGGTGGCGTTCAATGCAGTGTTGCGCGCCTGCACTAGCATGAGTTTGATCAACGAGGCGCGACACTTGTTCATGGAGATGGCCGACCGCGGGCTGACGCCTGATGGAAAAACGTACGCCGTCATGGTTAGGGGCTACGCGCTCAATAACCAGTGGAAGGATGCAGTTACCCTGTTCGAGACGATGCGGGAGGAGCGCTTCAAACCCGACAGACACACATATCACCACGCAATATGTTCTTGCATCAGCCTCCAGCGTATTCAATACGCCGTGGAACTCTACAACGACATGATTCAGGCGAATCTTGCACCCTGCAGCACCACATGCGAATACTTGAGGGCAGGGTACGAAGCATACGGTTGGAGCCATAGAGCAAACTAG